ATACCCATCATGCTACTTCCAAGTTGCCCACTCCAGACTCATCCTCCACTTCACAGAGAAATAAACATTTTTAAGACACCTCACTTTCTGGAGGCAAACACTTGCCACAGGTGAAGAGAATTTGCTTCTTTTCCCTTTAGTATGTGAGGAATCCAGATATCCACCTCAGGTGGAATAGAGTTACACCGAAGGATTTCCTCCCTTTAATGAAAAGGGAGATTATCAGCAAGCCTCTGAGGAGCTGGGACTATCCAATAAGCACCAAACATAAGAAGAATTGTGATCAAATGTCAGAAGTGGTTAATGCTGGACATGAGCAAAGGCAGATAATTTCTGCATATCACATTTTCTAGTGAATTAATTTGGCGCCATTCCCAGACCTTTTTTATTCACTTTCCACTTTTAATTAAGTAGTCAAACTTTACTGGAACAGCCCAGTGTAGAAAGCCAAGTATTGTGAATACTCACAGAAAGAGTTTTTATTTCTGACAAATACTCACTCTTGTTGCAATCTCTCATACAAGGTTTATGTGAACAATTACCATGAGCCACTCTGCTCAGTATGATAAATAGATGTACTCATAGAGCTTTGAGAAATAAAGACATTTTAAAAGACTCTTCAAATTGCTTTAATAAAACTGCCCACCAATCTTTTAACAGAAGAAAAAGGAAACATAATGGAGGGAACGACACAGACACTTGTCATCCCACCATTTGCCATTTTCTAAAGCACAGGTCTTCCTCATATGAAAGGAGAATAAAACCTGGTTCTTTATTTTCAGCCACTTTGATACTTTATCTTCAACTTGAGGAGTCCTAGAAGAGCCTGCACATCACGTAGGCACAAACACACAGCCTCCAAAGCCATTGATGAGGATACCTAATACTTGACAACCTGGAGAACCATATGGAAGAGACCCAGATCCTGGTTGACTAGAGGACAAACTTCTTCCACTGTCACATTCCACATCCTACAACACATCCAAATATCTCTCAGAACAAGTAAGCTGGGAAAACAAGCAACAGTGTTGAAAGGGACACTGGAAAGCAGAAGGGTAGAAGCTATGGAACAAATGGGGAGTAATTAAGATGAAAGGTGAAAAGAGCAGTGACCATTGCACTGTGTGGGGCATCAGAGATGCTACATTAGAGAAGGTGTTGATGGAGTGAAGATTTGAGCGTCCCACACACACTCATATCAGATATCCCAGCTACTGACATAAACAGAGCTGAAACAGAACATCATCTGGTTTTATTTTAAACTGTCCCTGTAAAAGGTATCAGAAAACCTTTTCCGCAGCACAGCATCATGAGAGAAGGGCAAGGCAGCCCTGAGTCTCTGACTCACTTGGATTTCATGGTGGTTAATTCAAGAGATCTCTATACCTCAGAGAGTTTTGTGGTGTTTTCCATGTAGCTTTTACCTCAGATATGGGTAGTTCTGGAAAGATCTACAATTATGGCACCAGCAACCTGAAGACCTCAAATGCCTAACTAAAGCCTATAAAGTCCATGAGTCACAGTCCCAGGGGAATCAGAGATACTTGGCATATACCCAGAGAAGGTCAATTGGAGCATGGGGAGACTATTTCTAAATAACCCAGAGCTTTGCCACTGGGAAAAATAAATAGAACTCTGTATCTAGTTTCCACATCTTAGCTGGCTAAATAAATAGCTCTCACAGGGCACTCTCCAGGGCAGATTCTTAAAGTGACCTTGGTCCTGCTGCTGCCCAGAACAGGGGAACACGAGTGTACCCACAAGAGAAGTGGTGCATTTTCAATGCTGCATTCCTGGCAGCTGATCAGAGAGCAAGAGTAATCTCAGCTCCCACAGTTGCCAGCTGTTCCTTCCCAGCAGAAAGGCAAACCATGGTGGCACATAGTTATGAAGTGGAGAGAAGGTATCAAGAGCAAATACAAAGTGAGGCTCAGAGGACTTCAGGGACGACACTGGAGTTTTCCTCTGTAGGCAGGTTATAGACTAGTGTTCTCTACGAGTTCCATACCAATACCAAAAAAGACGCAGATGTTTTTGTGAGCAACTACACCAAAATACCCCACTCCAGATTTCAGCACAGCCACAGCAACTATGGGAAGATCTGCACCAGTGTCAGATTGCCAGGAGCACACGCTGGGCTAGACAAAGCACATGACTCTTTTTATCCTTTCTCCCAATCTCAGAAAACCCACCTATAAGCTCCCTACCCCAGTCACTTCACAAATTTATGGCTAGAGCAACTCAAAACATAGAAGGACAATTTCACATGTACCCACCTCAATTTCTGATGAACTGTAAAGATGCTTGGGATTTTCATAGCATAGCTATCTGAGGCATTTCCTAAAACTGGGAAAGAAGACCTGTAGCCCACCCTACAGTCTATACTTCTAGTCTCAAGACCTAAATTCTTGTCAAAATCTCCTGGAGCCACTTTCCCCAGTGAGAGCAGTGCTCCCAAATGGACTGCAAGCAAGAACAATTTCTACTGAATAGTAAGAAATTGGTGTTGTAAACTGGGTTGCAAGTGTGAATTAAAACAAAACAGGTTTGTGTTGTTCTTCTGATGTGAAACAGACTGTCTCCACTCTGCCACTGACCTTCTCGGGCGCCCCCAGTTACAAAACAAAAGGCCCAGCTCTTAACCTTGGCCAGGCCAGCTGAGTGGCCACCAGGCCTCAGCTGATTTACAGTTCTTGTTCATTAGACCACATGTAAATGAGAGCCAAATCACCTTTTCTGTGAGCTAGGTCACAGAAAGATTTTATGCTCTGATTGCACACTCATACAAATATGTTTTAAGAAAAGCACAAATATTTTAGGAAATAAAAAGATAAATAGGAAACTGAACTAGCAATGACAAGCTCAGGTAGACAACAATTAATGTATGAGATACCTTTTTTCAAAGGGAAAATAAAAGCTTTTCAGTAATAAATAAAAAGGCTTATTAGCAATAAACCTGAGGTTTTACTGAGAATAATTTTGAGTTTGCTCTTCTGATGTGTCTCTGTGTCCCGAATGGAAAAAAGGTCCACTGAAGAGTTTAAAACAATTCTTGTATATCAGAAAAAAGGAAGAAAAAGCTAAATATTGCATATTGACAATCCAGAATAATTGAAAACAAAAGCAATGTGTTTCTCTGAAGGCTGTTTCTTTCTCTTTCTTCTTATAAGTGAGTATTCTAGACTACTTTGCAGCCTACATTACAGCAACCCTCAGCACTCACTGCATCTCCAAATGAATTTCAACAAAAAGCCAGGCTAGAAATGTGTGACAGATACCAAGTTTTTCACTTTCCCCAGAGGAAACATCAAATGGAAAAAAGCACTTTTGCACAAAATTTATTTTAAAAACCTTTATGCAGCCAGTCCTGTTGCTTAACAGGGAACTGATACAGGCAAAAGTCCTATTACACACAGATCCTGACCTATAAGGCTACCATAGAAGTAGAACTAACACTATTCTAATCATAGCCAACACTTCCATAGGAAAGAAACCAGGGAATTGAGTGGAATTTGCTTAGTTAAGCATGGGCTTGGACCCATCAGTCATTTTTGGCTGCCTCAGAATTCAAGCCCAGCTCTGGGTCTAACTCATCCTGGGCACCCCTGTCATACACAAAGCAGTTCTCCCGGCTCCCTAAATCTCAGAATTATAACATGAGGTCTTAGGGGAATGTTGAAGGATGCTCAGATATCCTAGAAATAATACTGTAGCAATAATATTCTTTGAGTTCCTCTCTGTTGGAAACATTCTGGTATCACATTTTTGGACGGACCACGTAGAGGAGTCTCAGGTACTCTAAGAGAGAACGGAAGTTGTGAAGCGCTTCCAGGTACTTAGCACTGTACTAGAAAGCCAAAAGCATAGGCTAAAAGTGAGTTGTCTCCCATCAACAAGGCAGCTGCAATTCAAATTCCTTCCCATGCAATGTATTGTGTAACTGGTGATACTGGGAGAGCTAGTATCAGTCTTTGGTGGTAGCATCAGGATGGACATTATTTACTGGTACCCTCACCCAGAATGACTGGCCTCCACTTCAACCACAACTAAGTAAGCAGTGGCCAAACTGTTGTGCCGTGTCTGTCCATCCCTCTCACCTACACACGATGCTCAGCCTGGAACTGCTTCCTCAGTGGTCACCAGCCATGGACCTCACCCATGTCAGGTCCATGCAGAAGCCAAAGCCAACTGAATGCTGCCATGTCCTTGCTGAGATGTGCATGAGGAAGTAGAGTGTGCTCCACAAACCACTGCATGTCTCAGCAGGAGAACTGGCAGGTTCTGTGTTGCTTAAGCAAATGGGATTGTGTGGGCACAGCTCACAGCAGTAAATTCTTCCTCCTGTTTTTAAAGAGCAAGTCACAGAAATGTGTCCTCCTGCAGTGTTTTCCACATTACGAAGTTTGCCTTGAAAGGCATCTGAAGAAGTGGTCATTTGGCATTAAGATGGAGATATAAAATGGACTTGCTGTCTTCAGAAAAGAACTATTTGAAATATGTGGGATGGGCTTAAAATCAGATGCAGATTAATACTAGTAAGAACTGTCATACTTCAAAAATATCATGATGACTTGCATATCATCATGACTGTCTGGAAAAGGAGGATGAGGCAAGTACTGCCACGATTCCACTGTACCTGCCCCCAAGGCTGGTGGTGGCAGGAGGTTCTTGCTAAGGGGTAAATGGGAGCGGTTTTTCTGCTGCCAGCACAAGCTTCTCAAAACCCAGTCATGGCTGGGGAACAAAGGAAGATACCTTGCAATCAAATTGCCATCCCTGTATAGGGTACACTACAAACAAATGGCCACCAGCATGAATCATATGATGAATCATGGCATTAATGTGTCCTTCAGGGAACTATTTCTGCCTCTTAAAAAACCCTGCAGATTTAAAGTGAGTGGAAACTGCATACATTTCTGATTTCTATGCCTCTTCAAGTGGAACCAAAATTTTATTTCTTGCTGTCCTGGAAAGATGAGTTCCCTGGGGCTACTGCCTACCTGACCGTCCTGACGTGTCTCTTGCTGTAGGGAGTGATGACTTTGAAAAGCAGCTCCATGGCTCCATTGATGCCAAGCATAGTTCCTGTGGTAACTAAGGCAATAAAAGAAAAAAACAGTCAGCTCTGAAGCAGGCAGTCTGTTAATGTGTTTTAGAGGAGATGTGGGGAAGGGAGTAGCTGCCCCTGAGGCTGTGAACTCTCTGGGCTCCCATCTGGACTCCACAGGTCACCTTACAAACACAGAAAGTGAAGCATAAAGCTGTCTGTGGATGCAACCAGAGCCAAGATCAGGTGAAAAAGAAGTCCTGCAGCTCTTTCTCAAGTTCCCCAAAGCCCCTTTTCCTGTAGATATTGTACTCTCCAGACAACAAATTGTAATTAAATAAGGTCTTCTCCCAGAAAAATGACAAATTCATCCCACATTTTCTACATGCAACTCCATGAGGACACTTCATTTCATAGGGTCTTGGAGGGCAGAGTTTTCTTTCTCTGCTATTATTCAGCAGGATCGGAGTGAGTTTTGGGGGCAGGGGTGCTTCTGAATGCAGCTTAATTTCATCTAGGTCAATATTCCCTTTAATCCTTTGCTTCTTAACACACTAGGAACTTTCATAGATAAATTTTACAATCAATTCCAAAAATGCCTGATGCATAAACTAGGTGTTTAGCAAGACTTCCCTACTATGAGACAGCATCTCTGTGTAATGAAGGGACAAAAAACAGGCCTGAAATATTAAATGCAAGCGACCAAGGTGAAAGGATCAGTAATCAACAGCAGCCAGAGGAGCTGGCTGCCTTCCCACTGCTGGGTTTTGGCTGTTTTGTAGATATCTCCCAGTGGTCATCAGAGAGCTGCCAGAGGGCCCATCATCTCCTCTCATCCTACCGTGTCCCTGCCAAGCTCTCCTGTGATGGAAAGCTTTGCAAGGCTTGCCAACTACATTCACACTTGCCTGTAATTCATTAGAGACAGGGTGGTGGACAAGGCTGTTTGAATTCATCCTACCCCAGAGCAGGACATGGGCAGCCAGACACATCTGGTTATAGTGAAAGGAGCAACTCAGAGTGAAGAACTGGTTCATGAGATGAGACAAGCACTCATCTTTTTTGCTTTCGTACCTAAGCACTCAGAGTATAATATGCTTCTGAATTCCCTATAGTTCCACTCCATAAACATAATTTTTAAGGTTGGGAACATGTAATCCCCTAGTTTGGTACCACATCCACATGGACTTTCACCTAACTTCCCCTGCATCTTGCCAGCTGGGCCACAGAGTCCACAAAGCCAAAGTTACTCATGGAGGGGAAGCACATCTGGAGAGTGCAGGAGGTATCTGGAGAATAATAGACTTGCTCCAGCAAAGGTGCAGAGCTGGGGTTCTGGGGTCTGACATTAACAGAAAGGAGGTCAGGCTGCAATGTGCATCCTAAAACCTCTGCAAAAACTGCAGCTGAACTGGAATGCAGGTGCACTGAAGCAGGGAGCTGGGAAGTGTGTAGATCATATTTTAGGTGGGAGGCAGCCCAGGGTCACTGTGCAGCTGTGAAACCCAAATAAAGGCACGTTTCATCTTCTGGCCTTGGCTGCATTTTCAGCCACACTCAGCCTTTCAAATACTGCTTATCATGGGTAGAGGGGTTGAGTGTTGAGGTTTGGATGCTTGCCTGAGAAAGCCCATTGCATGAAAGTAACTCCTGTACATAGAGAAGGGACCTGCAGGGCAGGGCGCCAGGAGTGCTAAATCTCAGGATGCATATATTAGACTCAGACAGGATGCTGGGTGAGGGATGTGGAGAAGGAGAGGAAAGGGTTAGAGTGAGTAAAGGGAAATTTGTGCTGACAAGCTCAGTGCTTCATAGCAGGGAAAGCCTGTATGAATCTCTAATGATCCCAGGAGAGAATACTGGAAATCCCATTGCCTGAATCATTTAACATGAGGGCATTGCCAACCAAGAAAAGCTGGGAGAGTGCACGGGTGGGAGAATATTAGACAGAAGACCAGGATCTAATATCTGCTTCCTGGGGGACCTTGAATGTGTCACTGATTTTTCTCTCACTCTGCTTCTCCACCCATTTTTCCTTCCTTGTGGAGCTGCTCTGAGGATCAATACAATCAACAGTAGTGAGACATTTGGCTGTTATGGTAATGGGAGCTGCATAGAGACTTAAAGTACCCAAATCTCAGAGCAAAAGAATTGACTGTCTTTTTTTTAGAATAGGAGATCATTGCCATGAATATTTTTCACTACAGTACTTTTATTTCCATAGTCTGTAGATGAAATGCACTGTAAAGGCTGCATAGGCCCCTCGAGGAGCCCCTTTTTCTATGGTTGTTCTGGCTTTTGTACCTGATTCTGTACATTAATGGTGCATGCAGACACTAACCTTATCAGGACTAATGTTTCTTTGCATTGAAATGACTAAAGAAGAACTCTGGCAGCTATCACACAGAGAAAAAGAGGAAAATCCTGGCACTCACCATTAGAAGCACAAACCCTCAGGACCCAGAGGCAGTGGGTGAGGGGCAGGTGGTGGTCCAGGTTTCTTCTTGTCAAGCTCAGTATTATATCAGTGGCTTCTGCCTTCTGCACTTTCAGGCCAAACTTCCTATCTGTGAAAAGCAAATAAGAATCAAACTATTGCAAAGACCAGGTCTTTGCAGCAGTGCTGATAAACATATTTGCACCAAAACTTGTAACTCAAGATCTCATAACAAAGGCATTCATTTGTATCAATGAGTTAAACCAGCATTAATCCCACCAAAAACAGGAAAATATGGGATTGCCTGCAGTCATCATATACAAATCATAGAATAGTTTGGGTAGAAAGGGACCTTTAAAGCCCACCTAGTCCAACTCCCCAGCAATGAGTTGCACTAGAACAGGTTACTCAGAGCCCCATCCAACCTGACCTTGAATGTTTCCAGACATGGGGCATCCATCACCTCTTTGGACAATCCGTGCCAGTGCCTCACCACCTTCACCATAAAAGTATTTCTTCCTTATATCCTGTCTGAATCTATCCTCTTTCAGTTTAAAACCATTACTCCGTGTCCGATAGCAACAGGCCCTACTAAAAAGTCTGTCCCCACCTTTCTTGTAAGCCCCCTTTAACTACTGGAAGGCCACAATAAGGTCACCCTCAGTTTTGAGCCCCCCACCCAAGAGACCCCCCCATCACCCCGCAGTACCTCGTTGGCCAACCCTGGCCAGCAGACGCAGCAGGGGCAGGAGGGTGCTGTGGTCGGGGGGCTCGGCCCGGGCGGCGGCAGAGAGGGCAGTGAGCAACGCCTCACTGCCCCCTTTGCTGATCACATAGTGGATCCTCCGCCCAGTCCCTGGGGAAAAGAGAACAAACCGCTCAGAGCATCCCTTCCCTGAGCCGCAGCTACCACAAACCCTCAGCACACAGTTTCCATGGCCTTTCAACAGTATTTTAGGGCTATAAATCCAAGGGCATTTGCAGAATTGGCCGTGGATCTCAGGTGCCCCTGGCCTGGAGACACGGCTAATGGCTGTGTGGTGGAACTATGTGCTCTGCTGCCTGTTACTACAACAGGCATTGTCTTCCCAAACCCACATGATGCAAAAGTTTTTTGCTGTGCATTGAAATGTGGTAGAGAGGAATAAGCAGAGACACCGACAGGTTTCAAAGGAGCAGAAGGCTCAGTGATCTTTTCTTAGATATTGGAAATTAAACAAGGAAAGGACTAAAGCTGCAACGGGCTTCTGCCAAATGAAAAGGAAGCCTAGGGAAGCCTTGGAGACAGCTTTCATATAAATCTAGGTCTCCAAAGAGACCACAGTCTAATCCTGTGAGCCCCACTGTGTTAACAAATATTGACCCATGGGCGACTTGGGCAGCGACTTCAGGCTCTGTAGTTGGAGGATGCTACTTGTTCAATTCCTGGAGGGGGGCAGTGCCTCCTATCTCCATGTAGACAATCCTTCCACCCAGCTGAGGAACGGGGCAGCAGGGCTCCAAAAGAGAGGCCCAGATGGACAGACGATGCCTGTGGTGGGACTTAAGCAGTGAGGAACCCAAGAAGCTCCAGCGCTCACCACTGTAGCTCCCACTGACTGGCAGCTTGGCTTGGGAGTTGTTTAGCAAATGACATTTTTATGTGGAGGAAGGAAAAGAAACTCTCTTATCTTTTTTCAGTTCTTTTGTTAATTCACTTATTTTTTTGATGTGGCCTGGGCACATGCAGTGATATCTCTTCCCTGCAGGCCAAGGTGTAGGTGCTTTCTGGGGAGAGAGTCCATTAGAGAGTCCCTGGGCTCTGGGAAATCAAGCTCTTCGTCCTGTCTCACAGCCCTGTCTCCAATGGTACTGGTGAATATCTCTAGTGGTTGACTGACAGGGATTATGAAGTGCTTCGAAACCCATGATCATCTTTTAACAACAAAAAAAAAAAATTGAAACTTTCTCTGGGTCTTTTTTTTTTTTTTAACTCACTGAATAAGCTCACTTTTCCAAACATAGGAGTAGTGACTGCTGATCTATACATACAATTCATATTTTATTCACCTTGCAAACACCTGGCCAAGTTTATGCAGGAATGAATTCCCTGACCTGCTTGAGGACCCCTTTCTTACCACAGTCCACAGCCATTGTCCCAGACCTCTGTTTCCTTACCCAGAGACAGCAAGTCGGTGAGGACACTGAGAATGTTCAGGATGACATCCTTGTCACAGGAGCTCTGAAATGAAAACACACCAAATTCAAGAATCAGTTCAGAACAGTGAACTTCATGCTGCACAGGGTTGCAGTGTGTCATGCAGTGCAGAGGCACTGAGATCCTTGTTTGGATACTGAGCACTTTCTGTGCCATCTGGCCAGTGAATTTGTTGAAACATATTGGTAACACATTTTAAAAGCCTCTGACAGATCACACTACACAATATTTAATACACGGTAGCATTTCTGTAGAATTTACATACAAATTCTAAATTAAAGCTCTCCTTTTTGGTTTGAGCTGGCTACCTCAAAGTTGAGGAAATTCTATATCACATAGAAATGTTAAATGCGAGGTGGTTTTCCATGACACCATCTCTTATTACTGGCAATTGAAGAACAAAATATTTAAATTACATTAATCCAATTTACAAGAAAATTCTCCTGTCTTTGCAGCTACAACCATGTGAAAGTTTTGAATTTGAAGAGCAGAAAAATGTCCTAAATTTATTTTTAGACTAATATAATTTAATTTGAAGACCAAATAACAACCACACTTTAACATCACATATTCTGCATTAGAGTCACTTTAAATTTTGCACTAGAGGAAATAAGATATACTGTACTTGAGGAGAAAACAACACATAATATTGACCATTCATCTGTGTGATACTTTAGACCCCTTCTTTAATCCTGCTCCAAACAGATTTCACTGCTGTGATTGAAGAATTAATCACCAGTCTGCATTGCTGCATGAGGGATTTGGGTTAAGTTCTGGATATCGTAATTTCTGAACAGATACAACACAATACAAATTCCCAATATAACAGAAAGCTTACATTTGTGTAGCCGTGGTCCCAAAGAACCTCAGGATCATATAAACTATAATAGAATAACTTTATCTCCAATTAAATTATGACAATAGGATAATATCTTAAAAATATATGGCTCCTATATTTCTAAACATGGAACTGCTTCAGAAATTTAACCTACTTGTATCTATTCTGGATATATGGGATCATTTTACCAGCCAAATTGATTCAACCATCCTCTGACATATTTAACATTATGCAACTGAATATTTAAGACAAGGAATTGAGAAGTAACATCTAGCAAAAAGAAACTCTAGAAAGAATATGAGGGAAATCTAATTCAGGTCTGTAATAATGGCTACTAATTCAAATGGACACTTTTTTACCAGTATATTCCTGAGAAAGTCACAGCATAAGCTGACATGGTGCTGAGGGTTGTGTAGTTAATTAAGGAGCTGTAGTGCATACCTCCTCCTTTTTTTTAGTTGGGGAGGGTATGCATGGAGTGCAACATAGGGATGAAGCAGGAAAATGGTCAGTCTTCAGTCAGAGCAGGTGACTGTCAGCCTGGAGAAACAGATTTCCTTCTCTGTCACAGAAATCCTGTAGGATGCTCAGCAGCTCCCTTCAGCCAAATCTTCTGTATTGGCAAACTGTATGTGCCATTTTCTGCACAAAATATCTACATTAGTGCCGATGTTTCCTAGCTTATGTGTGCTAAACATTGTGTGTATTCTTAGATTTCTTTTTTTTAATCACAGTTATTAAAAATCTCCAAATCTCTGAAAACCAGACGTCCCATCACACTGGTGTCAGTCAATTACCAGTGCTATCAAACTTTCACTGCTCAGTACATATTTCATAGTGGCATAAGTGAGGAACAGGGACAAGAGTATCAGCAGGGGAGTGAGAGAAAAGAACAAGATGTGGTTGGGGAAGGGGAAGGAAGAAAGGAAGAAAGAGGAGTCAGGTGAGGATGAGAGATTGGAGCAAACAGGCAGAGAATCACTTCTGAAATGGGGACTCAGGGGAGGAGTGTCTGTGAGCACTGCTGCCTTTCTAAAGGCTCGCCTTACTCTTGCTCTTAGCTAAAATCCACAGGCAAAGTACTTGCCTCATCCCCATCTCAGAGCTGGCCCACACCCAGAGCGAGCCCCTGCTGTTTCCATTCGTTATTAACTCAACAAGCAGAGATCTCTGCACGGAACATAAAAGTTCAGCCCTTTTATGATCTCTGTTGAAATCAAAAGGCTTGGTATTAGGATAGGATTACTGCTCCTTTCGGAGCCAAGACAAACAGAATACGTGGCTTTAATGAAATCCAATAACTCTTGGTTCACCAACTATTGCCACCCTCACCTTAGAGGAGTCCAAATTTGTGCTACTGGCTCAAGGGACCACAGAATGAGTAAAGTCTGCAGTAGGGTCAGAGCAGCTCTGCATGATGTTATTTTTCGAGGTAAGACATATAGTTTTAGTCCTCCATTAATCTTCTTAATTCATGTCTTTGTTCATTAGTCCACATTCCTGAGCTAGCTCAATCCTCCAAGAGCAAACAAAGAGCATTCAGAGCTCTTTTCCCAAGAGTTTCTTGGCATTTTTTAGCATAGGGACTTAACAGTCAGGGGCAGGCTGTCAGGAGTGATGAGTATCCATCAAATTTACTGACTCCAGGAGGAGTTAATGTTCTCAGCACCTTTTTAAGTATCAGGATTGGCTAAATCAGACTGTCCTCTGGTTTTGTCTTGCTGCCTCTCAGTATCCCTTTCCTCTGTAGGTGGATGGATTACACATTAAGGTTTCAGTAATGAAGTCTTCATTGATTTATGCTCCTATTACACTGGGTTGTTTATTTTAACTGATTGGATTGTGGGTTCCTAAGCCATTAACACAAATAGTGATGACATAAGATATCCTCTGACTTTCCATGAGCTTTATCCAGGGACTCAGGCGAACAAAGAACTTCAGGGGACATGAAAGATCAACCTTTAAAATGTGAAAGTTAAAGTTGGGTTATACTGCCGAATATTTTACCCGAATATTTACTTTTGAGGTTTTAACACTAAAATTCTGACTGTGTTAGTGCCTCATTGCTCCCCTTCCTCCAGTGCACTAGAGAGGGAGTTGGATGACTTGTATATTGGCTGAAACAGTGATAAAACAGTGAAACAGAGGATAAAACCCTAGTCCCATTACAAATTCTAATATATTTCCCACTAACTTTAGTGGCACCACTGAATAATACAGAATACTGCAAAATAACACAGCTCCAATTTATAATAGCAAGACAACACTGAAAAAAACAATCCTAAAGTTGCTATTGTCTTGCTAGATGCCTGTTGAAAAGAAACAGCTGAGATTTTGATTAATTACCTTGAGGTTTCCAAAGTCATCAAAGATGTTTGGACATTGAAATCTATTTTAATCGATTGTTTAAATTAATACACATACCAAACTGTTTGTGGATGAATTGCCAACAAATTCATTCATAAAAAATATTCTGTAAATCTTTTTGAACAGTAAGTACAAATGAGAAAATCACAACTTGTGCCCGATCTAAAAAAGATGAATGGAGTAATTTCTTTAATGCAAATTTCTTATCCTGCTCCAGTAAAAATAAACACATTAGTTATTTTTATTGAAAGAGATGTTTGATGGTTTAAGAACAAACCATAACCAAAGAGAGAAGTAAAATTCCTCTTGCTGAGCATTTTCCATTCCTGCCAGCACTTACGAATGTTACATACAGCATCTACACACACACAAACTAATGAAGATGCATTCATTGTATATGGGTGGAATGAGAGCAGAGAAAAGTTTCCAGAGGCTCAAGTCAGATTACAAAACCACTGACCTCCTGCAGGATTTCACTTAAAGGATTTAAAGTTAAAGCCAAATTGTTGCCTATTAACAACCCGTAGTTGTCTTTCACAGCTTGCAGCTGGACAAAGGCTAAAGTAAACAAAAACCATCACTTTAAATATCAAGCATGGCTGTACTTTTTGGTCAGAGCCCCTCATCTCACAGCCTTCAGCAAAGCCTGCTGTCTTCCTCACCCAACTGAGAGTATCACAGGGCTGAGCTCAGATGCATTTAATCAGCTCCCAGCTGATAGCTCCTCTCTGAGCTGTTTCTGGGAACTAATCCCTGAAACACTGGGGTTAGCTTGGCTGAAGCTCCTCAGAGATAAACAGCAGGAGGATGGAGAAAGCCAGCATTTAAAAAGTATCCCAGCTCATAGTCATTGATACCTTACAGGCAGCTAGTGACTAGTCAGTGACATTGGGTTTGGAGGACAACAGCTCGATCCCAGCATCCTTGTGACTGGCAGCTCGGGTTATTTCGCTGACCCACTACTAAGCAGGGAATAGCTCCTGTCTCCTTGTCCTGCTCCTGGGAACATACCAAGACAAGCTGTTATTTACTCAAGACAAGATTATAAAATTGCAACTAAGCCACAGTAACAGGTAAACTCATTTTGTCAGAGAAGTCTCTAGGGATGTTTTCCACAAGACTTGAAGACCCCACAGAGGTGAGTGTTTCGTGTCCCAGCTGAAGTACAGCTGCCATCAGTGCCATTCCCCTTCTAGCACTGCCTTAAAGCAAAGACTTCCCATAAACTCAGTCTTTTGGGCTTTTGTGTCTTTTGCCCAAAGGCAAGTATTTCTCCAAATGAAACACACAGACTACTCAGAGTGTTTACTGTAAGTCTAAGCATTAATGCTGAAAAAAAGGAGGACGCCCAGAAAGAAATCAAACAGCATTAATTTGTGCAGTGCGAGATTTACTAATAAATATTTTATTTGGAGGAAGAAATACAAAGCAGTTATTCCAATCACGAAAATAATGAATGCACAATGAAAGAAGTCACTCTTGCAAGACAATGCATAACATGATTTCTACCATACACCTCTTAAATTAATTGTTGAATAGTCTCACAAAGCTGTGTGACTGCTTAGGAAAAACAAAACAAAACAAATCAAAACAACAAAACAAAATGGTCTGATTTTAAAGAAAAGCTATTACTGCACTGGGCTAAAGAACTTCCAGACTTGTTCGTTTGGGTCTTTTTTGGTGAGAGCAAGGAATAGGATGTCCAGTTCCAGGGTTTGTTTGTTTATTTGTTTGTTTGTTTTTAAATAGCTTGTTTCTAAATAGGGAAGCAGGATTTGACATGTTCAAAATACATCCTCCTCCCTTCTCTTACCCTTAA